AGGAGTACAAGAAACATTTCAATTCTTCAGACATACCAGGATATATATGAGTAACATCTTGCTTAATCAAAAAAATTACTAATTTAATTTTACTACGGAATTATTAAGTTTCCTTCTAGTAATTTTAAAGTTTTATCAAAAGCAAAACATACTTTAGAGTTAAGTAAGTACCAACCTACAATTAATTGAAGTGTCCCGGTTAACCTCTGAACTACAAGAACATTAGCTTCAGATTTCCACTAATATCCATTTGGACTCTAAGTCAGAAACTGGTTCCCTAGATGCTAAATCTGCAGATAAAACTAAACCAGGAGGTGCTGTAAACACTAACGACAGTTAAGTGCAAACATCACATTAAAAAAGACATTCCAATTAGGAAAAAAATGCAAATATCCACAGAGAAAAATAACCTGTGGCTGGCAATCCAATAAGCAAAAGAAAGCCTGAAAAATTCTGGAGGGAAAAATAGGACAGGTACCAAGAGCAGCCCGTCACAAAAGCGAGTCGGAACAACAGGGAAGTCAATTCAATCAGGAAAACACACCAAACCCACAGATGAAAAAAAGGAACATGAGACAGGAAGAGGCAAAACACAGGAAGTGGGAAACTCCCCCAGGGAAGGGAAGGAATGCTACAGATCTGGGCTTTCCTAAAGACTTATTTGACAGGAAAATACTTGTCATGACAAAACAAACAAAAAATCCCAAATACACTCAATTTCCTTCTAGTGGGCTGTAATTAAAGAGAAATCACTATAGTTTTTTGAAGCCCATAAATCTCTACCATCTGCTCAATAATGGTGGAAAAAATATTATCTTGTGGTGCCGAGTTCTTAAAAGACTTATAAAAACCTACTCCAGCACTTCATAACTCATAAGCTCAAAACCCTAATCAGAAACCATTTATATAGGACTCCCCCTTGCTAGCGGAGGGGCCATGTACTTAATATCATCTTCCTCCAAAGAGCTCAAAGCTTTTTGGGGGTGTGAGGGGAGCCGGAAGGTTTGAACCCAGGGCCTTCACACTGGGCTACATCCCCAGTCCTTTTTGATGTTTTATTTTGAGACAGGCTCTTGCTATGTCAGTAAATTGCCCAGGCTGGGCTCAATCCTCCCAAAGTGCTGGGACTACGCCATGCCCAGCTGCTCAAAGCTTAAGACCCCAACCCAAATGCAAGTAGAACAATGTATCTGTCTTTAAGGGATAAACAAAGCTAAGGACTAAATCATCCTACTACCAAAATTTCTCCTGTCAAATACTGCATCACAAGCCAGTGTTCAACACTTCCCACCTCGGCCTCCCAAGTAGCTGGGACTACAGGACTGTGCCACCAAGCCCAGGCTTCTTTAGACACAGAAAATTAACTCCTTTATAAAGTGGCAGCATGCATGCCTATAATTCTAGCATTTGGCAGGCTGAGGCAGGAGGATCACCGTGAGTTCGAGGCCAGCCTTAACTACACAGTGAGACCCTGACTCTAAAAACAAAACAAAACAAAAACCCAAACAAACACACAAAAAACCCAACCAACCAACCAACCAACCAAAGTGATCACAATATGACAATATTTATTTAGGTCTTCCTCATAGTCAAGAGCCTAAATCAACACAACTGTTCACTTCTCTCTGTGTTCCCCAGGACATCACCTTTTTCTCACTTCTGTTTTTTCCTATCAGTTTTTAATTAAAAACGCCACAGATGTGGAAGGGAAGGAAAAGTCTGTAGCTGGATGGGGGCCATACACTCAGAAATGTCTTTGAATTCATCTTCCTGACTTTTTCATATTCCAGATGAGGAAACTAAGGCCCAGAGAGGAAAAAGTCTTTGCTCATTGTTACACTTCACCTCTACCCTGAAGTGAATCTCAAGTCCCTAAACAAGATTCAGCTAAGTGTAGTGCATACAACTGTAATCCCAGTGCTCAGGTGAGAGGCAGGAGGACCATAAGTTTGAGGCCTGCCTGAGTATCAGAGTGATACTCTGCCTCAAACAGACTGCTGAGTGCAGTGGTACATGCCTAAAATCCTGACTGGGAAGCTGAGTAAAAGAGGATCACAAATTCAAGTCCAGGCTGGGACTTAGCAAAACTGTCTCAAAATG